TGGGCCAAATGCTCAGCAGCGGTAAGTGCTCTGCCGACCTCTGTAAGGCCTTTCTGCATCTGCAATGATCAGAGAAATGATAGTGGCTTGAGCAGGGCCAGACTTTGAGGGCCCATGGGTGTCTGCTGTAAAAACTGTGAGGAGGGAGAAACAGGCGGTTTCATTAACACATTTCCTGCGTTTCTCTTCCCTCACTCATTGCTCCTGAGGACATTTCCATAGAAACAGGATCTTTGTTCCTTAGCAGTCCGGCTTCCACTAACAACACACGGCATCAGAGAGGAGGGCAGCTGCAATCAGCTCCATCGCGTGTTAGTATGGGGTGGCCTTCCAGCTCCTGGCATTCAGCAGCTGGACCTCAGTTTCCTTGATTAAAAGGTGAAGCAAATCCTGGCTGCACAGGGACCTGGTGAGGTGTCTGTTCATGCCAGCAAAGCACGTTGAGATGCTCAAACAAGACAAGGCATCCTCCACACAACTGATGTGTTACTCCTGTGCATTGATGTGTCCTCATGGCCTTCAGTGAGTGTGGCAAACTCCGTCCACGCTGGAGCTGGGATTGCAGCCAGAGCTGGCCTTCCTGAGAAGAGCTGGCAATAGGTAACCACACATCCTCACCACTTCTGATCACAGCCCTCTCTCCCCACCGCTACATTGGCCGTCATCCATATCATGAAACTCAAATGGCTCTGGTTGAGTGTCTTCATGCAACCTCCACTGATTGCTGCGATCGTAGCACTGAAACAGGCACCACCAGTCACCCCTTCAAACCCTTCCTGGCAGCCACTTGTCAACCACTCCTTCATGGAGTCAGCCCCAGCAGATACTGGACTCCTCGCCCCTCCTCTGCCCCTTCTTGGAGAGAGCCGAGCCAGAGTTAACAAGAAGAAAGCTTCTCTCCAAACAGGGAGCAAGTGCGATAACATCCGAGCAGGGTGTGGAAACACGTCCAAGGGACAGCTCCTGCCCTTGCGTGCTGTGGTGACTCATGTTGCAGCGATTCATTCATGTACATGTATGTCTCTGCGGGCCAGAAGGGTTTAGATCTGTTCCTTGCACGTCAAGGCTCCCTCCCTGAGAAGCCCCTCCTTTGCTTCACCAGGAACTGGCCTGGCCTCCCAAGAGTTGTATTCTAAGTGCTCTGTGCCTGAGGTTAGCTGATGGCCACATACTGCTGCTGATTACGGCCCCTCCCTCTCCAAACACCTTCATGGCGTTAATCCCAGCAGGATGTGGCACTGCAAAGATCAATGACCAGGAAACCACAGGCCTGATGCAAATAATAATACATGCTACTCTACAGCCCATGTAGACCACAGGGTCTCTAGACCGGCTGTGTGACCCGTCCTCAGTTACTGAAAGGAAATAAAGTCAACCCTCTCAGGAGTTTGCTGAGGTATTTCAAACCGGCTGGTTTTTGCTGCATATTTGTTGCTAAAGCAAGCAGGGGTCCAGCCTAATAAAGTCGTGTATCACAAGTGTCACTCTCGGCACTGCTCCAGGGTGCAGCAAGTGATGGCTTACTTTTATTTTGATTTAATTAACCCAAAAGCAACTTTTGCTACACCCTCTTGAAGCACTTTAGAGCCTCCCACCCCATCATGCTGCAGCAGCTGGCCTCTGGGCAGCCTATAATCCTTGATTTCGTTCTCCCACGATCTTTTCTTTTCGACCAAAGCCAAGAAAAGGAGACAGGCCTTATTCTTCCCATTTTTTTATAGGGACTGGTCATTCTGGTTACCTGCAGGTGTCCCACCGGTGGAGAAGACAGCCATAGCCAAAATACTTCAGGGAACTGTGACAAATAAGCTTGGCTGCTTTCCGACACTTCTGGGCTAGGATCCGGATTGACGGAGAATTCCCATCGTTCAGGTACTGGCGTTCATATTTTTGTGTTGGCTAATGAGAGAGGTGCTTGGCACAATGCAGCATATGCAGGGACAACCTCTGGCTCACATCCTGAACCAACCAGAAGTGCCTGGAGACCTGACTGCCGGCAGCATTTCTTTCACCATCTTGCCCGCTGAGGGATTCGGTATCTTTCCAGATCGGCCCCAGTTGCTCAAGCAGCGACATCAGAAAAACAGCTGCTCCTCAGTGCGAAGGGGGCTGGAGTCACAAGGTGGAGCCATTGTGTTTGTTTTGCTACAGGAGCTTTCTGCTTGGGGAGAATATGAATGACAGGGATGGAGGGGGCGAGACTGAATAACTGATCTAGACAGTGTCCCCCATCATAAAAGATTGCACAAGCTGCTAAATAAGAATATGGGGGGAAGTGACAGATCAGATACTACATTAGGAAAGAGGCAGGTATCAGGAGGCTGAGTGGATGACATGGAGACCCACGGGGATGATGCATTTAATCCCACATCAGTCCTAGCCCCACGCCAAACTGAAAACCCTTCTCATTGCCACCTGCTCTCACCTTTTTTTCTCATATTTCACCCTGCTGCCTTCTCATAGCTCAAATTCACATCTTTTTTCCCCACTCTACTAGGGGGAAAAATAAAGATAAAGCCTGTTCCTGAAAATTCACACAAATCCAAATGTCCTCCCCACCAGTTCTACCCTTGGAGACCTGCAGGGCCCCTTGCCAGTCTAGCAGGAGCAGGAAACACAGACTAACAGGAATAATGAAAGCATCAACACCTCATACAACACCCACCAGAGAAACTCCATGAAATCATTAACAGCTGAGCAAATCACCCGGGGCAGAAAAAGTTTGTCTCCTCATCTGACCTGGGGATGCAGCTAAGAGACACTGGAGTCAACACTGCATGAATATCCAATTTGGAGATTGAAAGCAGGGCAGATTTCCTGAGCCACCAACAGCTGGGCTGATGTGGAAATGCCAAGCTGAGATCCCTGCACTGCTCCAGTCTGCAGAGCTCCTCTGATCAGAACATGGGACTCTGGAGACAACAGACAACAGGGAGAGAAGAGATGGCTTTGCGGTTCAGGATGGGACTGGGTAGCCAGGCTTCCTACACTCCCAGTCTGTCCATACTGCTTCAGACAGTGTCCAGTGGGGGGCTGTGTCAGCTCTGCTGGGAAGAAACACTCCGCCATTACGTCCTGTTACACAAGTGCACTAAACTCCAAACAACGTAAGGTAGCCACCACTGCAACAGGACTATATGTACACCCAGGTGGTACTGGGGGACGTGTCAAACTGGTCACATCTTTTTCAATATGTGGCATGCATGAAGCAAGAGGGCAGGGCCTATTCTCACAGCTACCTTCCCTGGCACTGGTCAGAGGCAGGGCAGACTCATCGCTGTACAGTGCCTCCATTTCCCTATCCATAAACTATAGAACACAGTATTGCTCTGCCTCCCAAAGGTGCTGAATGAGCTGCTGGCCCACTGCATCCTTCCAGGGCCTGAGTCCTGGACTGGCAGAGCTGGTCCCAGAACAGGTTTTACAGTTTTGTGGCTGAGACTAAAAATCAAGACAAGAATCTGGTTTAAATAGAACTAAGCAGAAATATCAGGGGGCAGGGAGGGGTGGGTTACAGCTAAATGAAAACCAAATCTTCTTGGCTCAACTTGAAACCTTTCATTTGATTCCAGACAAAATATTTTGTTTTATTTGGAGCTTATTTAACCCATTTTTGAGCTTTGGTTAAATTTAAGTTAGCATTCAAAAGGAAAGTGCCATTTGGAAGCACGAAGTTTAGAAGTTCCATCTTAAAAAATGTCCAGATGAAATGTTTTGAAATGTTTCCTCTGTTTTGTTTCAGGCAGGAACTGTTTGTCATCTTTTACTTGAATTTTTTAATCACTTTAGTCCAGCCAAAACTCTGCTTATCAGTAAACTGACAATTTGTTGGAGAAATGTCCTCCAGCTATGCCGACAGGGAAACCCTAACAGACCTGGCAGAGGCAAGCTCTGTCTTATTGAGTTGTGTGAGATCTTCAGACCTGAACAAACATCACACGTGATGTGGTGTTGATCTGAGTGTAATAATTAATGGTTCTTTCAGCTTCAGCAAGTAAAGACACGATCACTAGCAATGGAGGTGTGGATGTGTATCCTTCTGGGTCTGCATTCAGGCCAAAGCCTGCAGTCTTTACTCAGGCAAAGCTCCCACTGGACCCACCATGGACTACAGACAGTGGTTTGTATTTGGGAGTGTTCTTTGTTATAGGATCGCGTAGAGCAGGACAGTGGATTCCTCTTCAAGCAGGCAGCTAGAAACCTACAAACTGGCAGATTCCCCGTATCAAAGAAGTGGTACTTTTCCCAAGTGAAACTGCAGGGCAGTTTTATGAGGCTATCAGTGCCCTGCCTGACTTAATCTACCTGGTCCAGTAGTGTTTCTAAAGAACCTACCACCACAGCACCCACTATCATCACCTCTGTTGCAGTTCTTGCCCTGAGCAATGGGCTCACGTGGCGATGGCTGTGCATTATGTCAACATGTTATCTGTACAGACAGTCCTCAGACTTATGACACAACTGGTTCCTGAAAACCATGGCTTAAGTCAAAACGTTGTAACTCGGAACTGATTTTCCCATAGGAAACAATGTTATAAATGGGGAATTGGTTCCTGAACCAAGGCCCAATACCCTATTTTCACCAAAAATAACCCAGAATTTTGTACTCAGTCAATTATAGATGAGTAATATAG